CACACACACACACACACACACACACACACACACACACACACACACACACACACACACCTGTCTACTTGCGTTTGTTACATTTCACTCTCCATGGCTTTCCCCAGTGAAAGTAGGTCCTTGTATTTTCTTTTTCTCTTGGGGTGATGAAATACCTGCCCATTGCTCTTCATTTTCCAAATCTCTTTTTTAGAATGTTTACAGTACGTCTGTTGCGGTAAGAACCTGGCTACTGTACACTGCTAACTGCATGCTTGTAGGGACAGTGTGCGCCCAGTGAAAGAGAGGCAAAGGGGCGTGGGTTCAGAGACGTATCTGTATTGTTGTTCCTCGCGACCAATCAGATTGCTCCTCGGGCGCGCTTATATTAATCTGAGTAGCTGCGAGAGAAATCATTTAACGCCTGGTTCCATTCATTGAGCGACTCGGACTCCCGCTAGATCTTACTGTCGCACGCAAAGCGAGACAACACTAGTATATTATACTAGGCACACTCTACGTTTGTGTACAAAACGAAAGACGCGCTTGTGTGCGTGTATGTGCGAGGTCTCGAGAAAAAGAGAGAGCTTTCCAGACTCAAGACTTACTGACTGACTTGTCAAGTGGAAAGACTTTATAAATTTTTATAAGTTTTGGTTGACTCGCGAGTCTATTGCATCTTGTCTACACGATAGTCTATTTTTCTTCTTCTGAGGATTTTCCTGTCATCAACACAGAAGATGAGTTCTTACGTCAAGTCAGGACTTTGTCTCGCTTTGGCCGCGTTGCAGGTTGGTACCATAACTTTTTTTTCTCTCCCGACTACAATGATAAACAATTGCAACAACAGCAGCTGCAATAAAAGACTCGGCCAAAAACATTGATTATTGTAGACGCTTCAGTCTAAAATTTTACCCAAACTATGGCTTAGAGCAGATTGTTGCTGTTGTTGTTGTTGTTTTTGTTGTTGCTGTTGCTGTTGACTGTTGTTGTTGTTGTTGTTTCTCTTGTTGACTAGATCTATGCAAATATGTATTTTATATTACTCTTTTCTTATTCGTTTCCGATGCTTTCTCTGGTGATATCGCCTTATGTTCTGTTCTCATTCATTTCTCATCTTCCTTTTTATTTAGTTTTATTATTGTTGTTGTTGTTGTTGTTGCTGTTGCTG